GATATATGCAAGTGGTGGTCGTCACTAATAGATCTATCACAGATACCTTTGAGGTTAAGGCAGGAGGTAAGCAAGGCTGCATCATCACCGGGGATCCTGGTTTTCGCTGATAAAAAAGTCACAAATTCTCTAATTAGAACCCCCAAAATCCACTATTAAAATGAAAGGCCACTAAACATATAGGTATAAGCTGAACACAATGTTTTATTGATAATGATACAATTTTAAAGCAAATTTAAAGCCTATCAGTGCCTCAATCATTATAATAAAATTAATTCTAAATACCTATATATTTTGGCATTTAATTTTGGTTTTTACCATGGAAGAATAAGAGCTCCCCCTACCCTCTTAGCTCACCAGGATGCAGGTCCAGGCCCCTCACTCCCCACCCAAAGCCCCACCAGTGCCCCTTACTCCCCACTCTCAGCCCCCTGGCCCTGCCAGTGCCCCTCAACTCCTCACCACCCTGCTGGTGCCCCTCACTCTCCACCCACAGCCCCCTGCCCCCTCCCCAGCTCTGATGGAGGGGGCCCCCAGCTGCCAGGACTATGGGGCTGGGGACCTGGGTCTGCAGCCCGCTGCCCCCCAGCCCTGGCTACTGCCCATGGGAGGCGGTAGTTGCTGTGGTGAAGTGGAGCACAGAGCCTGGCTCCCCCTCCCTTTTCCCCATGGGTGGCATGGCTGGAATGGAGTCCGGGGGGGGGGAAAAGGAGTCGGGTGTGGGCTGCCGGCTACAGGCTCAGATTGGGGGGGGGGCCTGTCTCTCCTCGACTGTGCACGCTCCTGCTACTGGAACTCTGCTAGCCTGCGGATAGATCTTTGCAAAATCCACGTGTTTCTCTGCTAAAACGAAAAACCCGCATTTTTCTCAGGTAAAGTGAAATTCCGCATTTTTCTGTTTTCCCATGGGAAAGGGAAAACCCAAGTCCCTGGTCATCACTCCAACATTCTTCTCAGTATTCCTTACTGCAATGCTACATCTGACCACCAACAAGCTTCCAGTTGGAGTGGAGCTAAACTACCAAATGGATAGTAAATTGTTTAAATCTCAGCTGACTCTAAGCCAAAACCAAGACCACAATGACCTCAATCATTACAGTGATGATGCTGAAGTGTGTCCTCACTCGGAAACAGACCGTCAGGCAATCATCAATGTCTTTATCAAGGCATACAAGAAAATGGGGCTGATGTTTAACATTCAGGTCTTCCATCAACAAGCTAATTATGAGCAGTCTCCAGATCCGCCAATTCAGATTCATGGTGTGACTCTGGAGAACACTGAATATTTCCCATATCTCAGAAGCCATCTCTCGCAGAAGGCTGATATCAACAAAGAAGTCCAACATCACCTCAAATGTGCAAGCGCAGCCTTTGGATGTCTGAGAAAACAGGTGTATGAAGATAACAACATCAGATCCAAAACCAGGCTCATGGTTTATCAAGCAGTTGTGATCTCCAAATTACTGTACCAAGCTGAGGCATGCGTGGACCACGTACAGAAAACAACTCAAGTTGTTTAAGAAGCACCACCAACACTGCCTATGGAAGGTCCTTTGAATTTAGTGGGAAAATAGACGCACCAACATTAGCATTCTCTCACAAGCAAACAACACGAGCATAGAGGTGATAATCATCCAACATCAACTTCACTCCGCTGGCCATGTCATCCCGATGTCTGATTCCACACTCTTGAAGTAAGTTTTATTTTCTCAAGTCAATAAAGGCATACACTCAAGAGGAAGGCAGAGAAAGTGCTTTAAGGACATCCTGAAGGCCAACTTGAAAGAATGCAGCATCAACTCATAGGAGACTATTGCCCAGGACCACCCCAACTGGCATAAGTCCACTGCAAGGATCTCAGTACTTTGAAACCTTATGACAAGAACAGGAGATAGAAAAGCAGAAATGGCAGAAGCAGCTTGTCGCAGACCGAATCAAGAGTCTAAAGCCACTCATCACCCACAGAAACACATGCCCGAATTGCAACTGTGTGTCTCAGTCCTGGATCAGCCTTGTTACCACCTTCTTTGGACCCACAGGTAAGACAAATAAAACCCACAAAGACAATCATCCTTGACTGAGAGGGACTGCTGAAGAAGCAACAGTTCTACAAATGAGCCCCTAATTTGTTTCCGTTTCCACATTAGACCGTTTTCCACTTATGCAGATTAAATATACATAATGCCCCAGAAGGTATGCTGGCACCATAGACATTTCCCAGCTTGAGCAGGTTTTCAATTTTTACAGGTTCAGTCTGAAGACAGGTTTCACTGCAAGTTACATCAACTGGATCCCTCTTGTCCACATGCTTATCATTCTCAAAGAACTCTGAAAGATGGCAAGACAGAATTTTCCTTTACCAAAAAAGCTCTATACTTATAGTAAGTGAGGCATTAACACAGGAGTGGGCAATTATTTCGGGTGGACAGCTGCTTAATGAGTTTTGGTGAGCTGTCAAGGGCTGCAAAGGTAGCCCCACCTGTTGATAGGCACCCATGTCCCGATTGCCATCTTGGGACTAGAAGTCCTGCCCACTAACTGCTGACCATTGCCACTGGAAGTCTCTCCCCTTGCCACCTTTTGGGAAGGGGGTTTGCCATCTTGGAACCAGAAAAAACAACAAATTGGATACTAAAAATCAAAATTCACAACAACACATTTTAATTTTAATAAAAAAATATTTTTGTCCTGATTTGCATGGTGTAAATAGAGATGGTTGCATAATAGCTCAAAATGAAGTCTTGCTCATATATTGTAGAAGAATGTGAAGGGGTGGGGGATACGGAGGGGTGGGTATGGGATTTGTGGGGGGCTATGGGTGCATGTAGAGAGTGTGTGGGTGTGTGCAGTGTTTGTGGGGTGTGTGATTGTGTGGAGGAGGGTGTGGTTGTGGGTGCAGTGGGGTGTGCATGGCACCCTGAGCGTGTCCCCGAGCTAGGCAACGCCTGCACCTGCCCCATCCCGCAACAGCCTAGAGCCCTGTGGTGCCTCCCCGCCACCGTCAGCAGCACACAGCCCCAGAGCACCCTGCATGACTCACCCCCACCCAAGCAGATCAGCCAGAACCTGGGCACAGCTCTGACCTGGCCCATCCCGCACCACCCAGCTGTGGCACATTCTGCCACCCACTGGAGGCTCTGCAGCAGGACTGCCTTTCTAGGCAGCCCACATGGCAGCAGCTCCTTCCAGCTGCTGTCTCTGCTTCCCCTAGACCCACCATACCGGCAGGGACCCATGCTGCCCAGCCCCATGCACCCTGCACCTGCTCCGGGCTCACCCACCCAGGCTCAGCAGTGGCACTGCAGAACAGAAACTGTTGTTCAGCTTGGGGAGAAAGAAGCCCCTCCCTTTCCTGCTGGCAGCAGTTCCCTGCTGCAGACATCCAGAGCCCACGCTGGGCTGTCCTGTGTCTGCTTTGCGCTGCCAGCACTGCCCCACTGGTCAGTCCACAGGCAGCAGTTATGGCAGTGTAGACATAGGGCAGCCCCACGCAGGCTCTGGGCAGCTGCCACTACTGAGCCTGGGCAAGTGAGCTCAGAGCAGGTGCAGGGTTGGAGATGTGCACTGTGGGTCTCTGCTGATTCTGGCAGCAACCTAGAAAGGCAATCCAGCCACAGAGCTGCTCCAGCCCTGCTGCATGCCCAGCGGGCGGCAGAACGCGCCCTGCATGAACTGTCTGAACCAGGGGACCGAGGGATTCACTGTGGGCCAGACAAAGACACGCCGCCGGCATTGACAGCTCAAGTTTAAAATTTTGAGCATTATATATCTATTCCTGTCCTGTAAATATGCCCATCTTAACAGTTGGCAAATGTTGCTGCGAGTTTCTAAACAGCTTTCATGTTTCTCCTAAGAAAGTGCTAAATATCAGTAAAGCAAATACATACACATACGCATTTGTTAGAATCTAAAATTATTACACTTTGGGAACAAATGAGCCGAATACATACACACGTGTATATAAGAGATGTACATATCTACATCTACATTTTGTAAAATTATGCTCATCAGCCTACTGGATACAAATAACTTCACTATCACCAAGGTAGACGCTATGAACATGTGGGCTGGTAAACTTGCAACATGGCTGCTTTTTAAAAGACTAATAGGATAGGAAATCACATAGATGATATGCTGTACTTGATAAAACTGGGGAAAAAGAAGTTTCAACAAGTACAAAGAACTTCTAAGACTGATTTCAGATTTTACTCTACAAACACATTCAGGGATAACTAGATACAAAAACAGGCTGACTAATTTATGGGGTTTCCTTACAGGTACCAGTGTGCTAAGGGGTCAAGTCCTTTCTTGGTCTCTCTGTGTTCTTGAAAAAGCAGTTTTATCTCGACAGAAACGGCTCTTGTATTCCTGATCCATTTTCATACTATTAATCAAATAATTTGCTCAGAAGCATTTACATGTTCACATTTGATAATAATCTGTTTCAAGTTTATCTCAGCAGAAAACAGTGGCACAGTACTTTTCCACTTTTGGAGTATAAGCTCAGTTAGGTAAAATAAAAGATTATGCCTGATGAATTCAGAATAGCATGAGTTTAGGAAATGCTTGCTTGGATGAGGACACATTTAAACCAGTGAGGTCAAGCTCATCTAAACAAATGAAGTGGGCCTGGTCCATCTGCCGAATCAAACCGTAGTACTGCTTTCTACATGCAATATGGGTCCCAGAGCAGCCAGGGTGGGCACTGCATGCAGCCAACACAGGTCCTGGACCCTGCACCTGGTTCAGCATGTGCTGGGTGCGGCCTGTCAGTTTACTATGAGACCCAAGGGCAGCACCAGGAGTCCAAATGACAGGGCTCCGCAGGCCACAGTCGGCTCATGGTCCATATCTTTGACACCCCTGATTTAAATAATCAAAACTTTCAAATAAAAATACTACGTTTAAAAAATTAATTATTTTACAGAATAACTTCACTGGGTTTCTCCTCCTCTGTGCCTCCCAGAGAGTTTCTCTTCACCTGTAATTATGGTCTTTACCTTCATTCTCTTCATTTAGTTCCGAAACGGCCGTTGCATTTGTTTTCCATGAATAAGCAAAAAGGATATCAGCTTTTTTGGCAATGAACTGCTGTATCTCAATGTTATCGATTTTCTTGTCTTTCCTAAAAAAAAAGGGGAGAAAAAGGAAGAAAGACAAATCCAGCATTCCTCCCTCTCTTCACACAAGTTACCTAAAACAATCAGCACGGTTAGAAATTATCCTTCATTTTGCATAACTACATATTTATGTAACTAGAGTACTGCATCCCCAAGTATCTCTCCACTTTCATCCCCCTTCTCTCTCTTTCCACCCCTCCCCAGCCTGTCTCACCCACTGATTCCTCAATCTACATTTTCACTGACTGCCTGTCTTGTATGCATACCAGCCCAGCCCAGCCGCTGGCTTCTTTACTTTTCATTCCATCCAGGAAGAGCACACACCAACTGCTGACAAATCCTTAGCCTGACGAAGGGTTTTGGAACCCGAAAGCTTGCTTAATAATTGTTTTCCAACTATTTAAGTTGGTCTAATAAAAGATATCAGATTCACCCAAAGATCTTTACACCAACACAGCTACAACCTATACCCCTGCATCCAGTTTTGGACACTGCACTTCAAAAAAAGATGTAGTGAAACTGGAAAGACTCCAGCAGAGAGCAGCAACAGAGAAACTGCTGTTGTAAAAGCCTCTCTAGAAGTTCAGGTAAAGGTGCGATAGGATCCAACGCACGACCTGCACAATCACACCTGCCATGCCACACACGCGTGGCAGAAGGTGTGATTGTAGGATCCAGTATCAGATACAACCATGCCTTATAGTGGGGGCAGGAGCCTGGCATCACCATCCTGGACTCCCCCTGCCAGAGCTGTAGCTGACGGGACTTGCAGCCACAGCAGCACTTGGGGTGAGGACTGTGGCTGGGGGGCCCAGCGGACGGGCTCCCAGTCCCGGGGGGGGGGGCACCTGGCCACACATTCAACTAGTCGTGTGATCAAGAGGAGCCACAGAGTTATAATGCAATTTTGGAAGAATAACGTTGTGGCTTATTCCTGGTTCTCTCACACTGTTACCCGACCAGAGGTGCAGCTGTCACAACAGGGGATCAGGCTAGATGATCTGTTCAGGTCCCTCCTCACCCTAGCTACTATGAAACTTATGACGCAATTAACTAGTGTCAAGTGCAACATGTCATAGAAAATGAGGGTGGAAGGGACCTCGGGAGGTCACATCTAGGGCAACCCGGCTCCAAGCAGGACCAGCCCCAACTACATCATCCCAGCCAGGGCTAAAAATCTCCAAGGATGGAGATCCCACCCGCTCCCTAGATAACCCACTGCAGTGTTTTATTACCCTCCTAGCAAGGTTTTTCCTGAGGTCCAACCTAAAGATCCTTTCCCGCAACGTGAGCCTGTCACTTCCTGTCCTGTCATCCGCCCCCGCTGAAAGCAGCCCCCTCCCCCCTTCTCTTCTGCAGACGAAACAGGCCCACGTCACAGACGGGCCTCTCTCCTCACAAGCCCCGAGCCGCTTCCGTGGCTCTCCAGTGTGTCCGCACCCTTCCCGCGGGGCCCACAGGGAAAGGGCGGGGGAAGCTCCAAACCCCGCACTTACACGCCCCAAATCCCCAGGAGGCGGCGGCCAGGCCCGGCGGGGCCATGT